TTCATCCCTTGCGCCGCCCCTCAGAGCGGATCCCCCCCTCTCCGTCCATTCTTCCCCGTCTTGTTTTGGGTGGGTGGTTGGGTGGGGGGGGGTGAGAGAGAGAGAAAAAAATTGTTACAGGCAACCCCCCCCCCCCCCCAACACACACACCACACAACCTATGCGGCAGATACGCACATGCACATGCCGCGCATGCGATCTTGGAGAAATGAGGGTAAAGTGAGCCCATGTGATTGACTTGATCACGGCAGCATGTTGATGGCATTGCAAGAGAAAGGGCCATTGTGACCTCTGCCGCTGCACACAGTCGCACTGAAGCAACAACTCACCTCTGAAGACGGTTCCAGCCACGACCATGGAAAAATGTGTGCAACGAAAAAAAGTACTGGAACGAGCACCGTCGAGCTGGTCATGACCACAATGGCCACAGCCTGGTATGACCCCTGTACCCACCACCGCACACCGCACACACACCTCACCCCACATACACACCGCACACCAAACATACTACATACACCACACGCCACACCACACAACCTCTCCCTCCCCCCCCCCCCCCTCACCCTCCCCTCACCTCCCCGTCACAACTCGGGCCGCAAGACCGGTGTCCAAGCAGACTGTTTGGCTTGCAAGGTCGGCAAGTAGAACGCCTTCCATGCCAGCAGCTACATTGCCAAGGTTGGCTATGGCGCAGTCGCCACGTCGTGTAGAGTCGCCGGCTTGTGTAGAGTCGCCATCGCGCTCATCAAGCTCTTGCTCTGGCGCAGGGTCGTCACGGACAAGACCGAGACCAGGAACAAGGCGGAGATCGGCGTCAAGAGATGCGGGTATGCGCTTGGTGGTGATGGTCCTGGTCCTGGGCCTGGTCCTGAGCCTGGGCCTGCCTGTCAGAGGCCATCCGCCGACGGCTGAAGTTTGCAAGGACTGTGCTCCGTCGTCGGACGGGACAAAGCTTGCATGCTGTTCCGAGTCGGACGTGCTCATCCGATGCGAGTACTGGGACGACTCGCCGATGTGGGACATCAAATCCGACGGAAACTCTTGCTCGCGCGAGCGAAACTCACTGGCTGTCGCCGTTATCACTGTCTTTGCTGTCGTTGCATGCGCCGGCATGACGGCTATCACTCTCTGTATCTGCTACATGTGCGACTGCTGCCCGCTCAAGAAGCGCCGCATCGCCCGAGCCCGCATCTCCTCGCTCTCTCGCACCACCGGCGCAGTCGTTGGATACGATGGTAACGCCCAGGGCATGCACGCGCTGGGCAACAACTTGCCCACCGCCTCGTCTGTCCGGCCCTCGGTCAACCTCCCGCGCCTGCCTAACGGTCGTCAGCACCCGCGCCCGCTTCCGCCCATCAGCAAGACCACCGGGCCGCGCTAGCTCTCGTCGAGCTTCTGCAGCCAGGCGTCGATCCGCTCCAGAGCATCCAGCCCGGTTGTTGCAATCGAGACAAAACCCCTGGTATCGTCATCCGAGTCCCGCAGCGGGTACGCCGGGTTGATACGGACTACCTGGACCTGGCCCGGGTTCTGCGCCGCGAGTATCTCGGTCATCCCGCGGAGCTTGGCCACAGTTATCCCAGCACCGATCTCCAGAATGACAACTTTAGCCGTCTCGGACGTCTCCAGCAAGTCATCAACTGCATCCCACCATGAGTGATGGCGCTCGTCCTGCGCCTCGTCATCGAGCCACCCGCGGTCGTCAAACATGCGAATGGCCGGCCGGCCGGCAGCTCCACACTCGGCACACGCCCGCGGCAATGAGCTGACGTCGCGGTCGTCGACCTCCCACCTCGCGCCCGCCCCGCCGCACGGCCTCGAGCATTGCCATCGGGTCACTCGGCCGTGCATCTCGCGCAGATGGTCGTCGTCAACAACACCAGCCTTAGTAAAGTGGCCATCTACGTTGGTGGTGACCACAAAGAAGGCACCGTGGGATGTGAACCTCTCCTCCCGCCAACGCCGCAGAATGTTGTAGCCATTATGCGGCCGCGCCCGCCCGTACTCGATCACAGACTCGCTCCAGAACGCCCAGAACTCGTCAGGCGCCGAGACCATGACCGACTCGGAGCAGAGCCTGGCGTACGGCACGCCGGCCTCGACAAGCTCCGTATACGTGGGCAGGCCCGAGTCAGCCGACATGCCTGACCCAGCATGGACCACCAACACCGATGCATTGGCCACCATCTGTCCCTCCCGCCCCACCCACACACCCCCAACCATCGGCAGCCGCCTGTGAGTACTCGCTTCTCTTGCCGCCGTCTCGTGGCGAATCTTCGTGAACCATCCGCATTGCCGGAGCTCGCTGCGCAACGCCAGTCCCGGCCCGGAAGCGCATGATCTCCACAGCGTAGTTCTACGCGATGGCCTAGTTCGTGTCTATATCATGGTGATGGGCTTAGGCGGGGTGCTGGTTGCACCCCTCCCCCCCTTCTCCACCTGCCCTCACCTCTCGTGTTGCGAACTCGACTACGCTGATTCTCTTGTGCTCTCGTTCTCAGCTTGCACAATGCTGTGCACTCGTACCTCTGCCGCCTCGCAACACGCATCATCAACATGGGCGCGGAGTGCAGCTAGTTGTTCTTCACTCGGTATGCTGCATGAGTTTCCCATGATGGTCGCCGCGGCGCCGATGTCACCAACTCGCGGCTCCCACTCCCGTCCCGACCCAGTGTCGGAGACGAGTGTGCGCAACAAAGCTTCTCGGCGTCAAAACGGCGCTGCAGTAAGCAAGACAGCTCGCCGTGGCCATCAATGCCTTGCTACCGCTCGATCACCAGATGAGTCGGTTTGAGTCTCGTCCCAGCTCAGACGATAAAGGCTACCCGATGAGCAGTGGCCTCGGCGCGCTCGCCGTCGTTCTCGAGGTGGCCCGTTCCGCCGGCATCAAGGCGGATGTAGTCGCGTCCACGGCGTGGCGCTGACGGATCGGCCATCACCCGCTCCGAGCACGCTGGACACCTTCCGCCGTCGGCGCAAACGAGCCCGAGGCACTCCTTGGCGCACACCACGTGGCCACACATCCGCAGCGCAACAGCCTTGCTCCCGTTGCGGAACGCCGTCTCACACACCGAGCACGCGTACGACGGCAGGGCGTGCCGCGACTCGCCGCCGGGTGTGCGAACCGGCGCATACTTGAGCGCAACCAACGATGAGAACGTCAGCTTGTGATCGCTTTCAGGACAAACAACATACGTGCGATCAGCCACCACCACACCCGACTCATCCGCATCAACGTTTGGCGCCATGTTGGGCAGCCAGTAGCCGCCGACCGAGTCGACCTCTTTCAACGCCGTTCCCTTGGCATTGGGCGCGCTAGCCAGCGACGATGCCGCCACTCCAACCGATGCCGCCACCGCCAGCGCATCAGTCCTGGCCTCCAACAGCGATCCAGTCGCCGCTGATGACAAGCCGCCGGTCGATGTGCCACCCACACCCGCGCCGGCAGCAGAGACAGCGGCAGAGCCCGCCGCCGCCTTGGCCGCCGCCTTGGCCGCCGCCTTGGCCGCCTTCTTGGCGCGCTTTGCGGCAGCCTTTGAAGCCTTTTTGGCCTTGGCCTTGCGAGCGACAAGATACTCGAGAACGCATGCCTTGCAGAACAAATGGCCTTCCTTGCACGCCATGGGCTCGCGAGCAGGAGCCAGACACAGCGCACACTCGTTGAAGCCACGGAGCGCCTCGCCGGTCAGCCGCCGCCGCTGCTCGCCATACTCGCTCAGGAGCGCCCGCTCCTCCCGTCCGAAGATGATCCTTGCCATGTCTCCTCTTTGCCCCGCTGCTGGTTGTGGCGTCGAGTGGTGGTCAATGGCCTTGCCGGTGCTGGCTGCCGAAAGGGGTGGAGGGAGAGAGCCAGGGGGAGGATCGGCTGGTGTGGCGGGATCAGGGCGAGATCGGGCAGGGTGGGAGGAGAGGTAGCCGCTTTGGCAACACATGATGCATCAATCGCTTTAAGCTGCCCACCGTTCCGGCTATTGAGCAGAGGCAATGCGGTACCAAAAACATCAATTCGCCAGCCCATTGTCGGGCGAGGCGTCGTCGGGCGAGGCGTCGTCGAGAGTGCCGCCATCGTCGAGGTCCTTGCCAGCTCCGTACTTGCGACGGAAGTAGGCCCTGATGCCGAAGCGGAGGGCAAAGAACATAATGATGAGGAAGATGGCAATACCGACGAGGCCGAGGATGAGCGCCAGGGCGATGGAGCCCCCAGACGGCGGCGGCGGTGGCGGCGGAATGGGCGCAGCCGCAGGCGGCGGCGGAGGCGGCGGCGGTGGGAGGGCAAGGTACCCGCTGAGCTGACTCCACACATAGACCTTGTTGAGGCCTTTGGCGCCAATGGCCAGAACCTCGTTGTTGAGCTCGACGTCGAGACCAAACTCGTCCATGACCGACTGCTGGATAGCTGGATCGTAGCCATCGCCTGAGGCGTTAAAGGTGACGTCGAGGAAGCCCGAGCGGTGGTAGGAGAAGGCAAAGCTCGACTTGAAGACCTCGCGCTTGATCCAGATGTTGTCCGAGACGCCAACGTTGCGCGTGTAGAGGTAGGTCTGGCCCTTGCCGGTCTCGGCCTCGACGCCAAACGGCGCGCCGATGGCCATCATCTGCCCGTTGGGCGAGAGCGCCATGTCCTGCCCAAAGTACGAGCCGTCCGTCTTCCACGGCTGCACATACTCGTTGCAGTCTCCAAGGCCCGAGACGTCGTACAGCGCGGCGTTGCCCTCGGCAAAGGTCTGCACCACGCCGCCCGCGGCATCGTAGCGGAAGACCGTCGAGTCGTTGCGCGGCGCCGAGACGTACCACTCGCCCAAGGCGGCATCCATCATGATAGCCGAGCCATAGTTTTGCGACGCGAGCTTGGCTGTCGGCGCACGGAGCGGAGCAGCCTCGGTCCATCCCGAGCCAGCCGCGTACGTGTACCGCCGCACCAGAGTCGGCAGCAGCGGCGCGTACAGGTTGCCGACCGAGTCGCCGTTAGCCTGCACATAAGCCTCGTCGTACGACTTGATCACCACGGTGTTGCCGTCGGGAGAAACGCCAAATGGCTGGCCGGCGTGCGAGTGGAGGAGCGTCTCGTTGGTGAGTGAGAGCTCCGGCTCGAACGTCTGGATCTTAGCCGAGTACACGTACTCACCCACGCCAGAGTCGTAGTCCCACACGTGTATGCCACGGTTGGTCGCGTTGGCGGTGTACGCATCCTTGCAGCTGTTATGCGTCGGTTCGCAGAACAGGTACATCGACATGGCAAAGATGCGCGAGCCGTCGGGAGTAACAGCGACCTGGAAGCCGAGGTGATCACGCGGCGCCGGATGCGGCAGACGCAGCACCTGGTCCGGCGCCGGCCCGTACTTGGACCCACTGGCATCAGCATCATGCCGCGAGAAGACATAGACACAGCCTTCCGAGGTGGCGAAGACCGAGGTGCCCTCGCCGTCGCGATGGGCACCCACCACCAGCCGCGACGCGGTGGCCGTCATGGCGAGTGAGAAGCCGAATCCGTCCTTCTCCACCGCGCTCGTCGTCAAGTTGCCGATCATCTCCCAACCACCCGTTGCAGCATCCAGCTCGTACACCCATGTCCGCCCAGGCATGGCCAGCGTCGCCGCCTCACCCACAGCGAGCACGTTGACATCAGCAGCCAGAGCGAGACCCTTGCCAAACATCCGCGTCGGGTTCCACTCGGGGAGAGCCCACGGCGAGTCCGGTTGCTCCAACACAGTCGAGGCATCACTTCGCACAGCCTCTCCACCGCTTGCCATGGCCAGCACCACCGCAGTCACGGCGAGCAGCAGCAGACCAACAGAGCGAGACGAGGCCGACACACCGCCGGCCGCCCGTCCCCACGCCAGCTTCCGCATGTTGCCATTCCGGCAGGTACTCGGGACAACACACATCATCTTCCGTCCAAACACAACCGAGGTGTTGATAGTCGGGAGAGAAACGAATGCGTCTCCCGACCTTCCCCTCCTCTCCCGCCCCCGCCCCCGCCCCACCCCCGCTGCCCTTGCTCCCGTCAAAGACGACATTGATTCGTTGCCGACAAACTGGCTGCCACCAACAATCGATGCCAATTGATGACAATACCTTCGGTGTATTATCATTGAGGAACGTTTTGCACGGTCCGGTGTGTGTGCCTCCACGTCAGCAATGGCAGCATGCCGTACGGGATGCGCTACAGGGGGATACGAGGGTGTACAAGTGCGGGAATGTCACGCAAGGGTATTGGCAAACACTCTGCTTGCTCTTTGACTGGTGGTATATACGTCATACATGGTGTAGCCTTCACTACGGGCATGGAAGCTTGCCCCCCCCCCTGTGCTATCAATATGCTCGCTCACGTTCATTAGTCATCGGGTCGGACTCAGCCGGACAATCAAAACGTTGCCAAGACAGAGGGGGAGGGGGGGAGGGGGGAGGCCGGCGGGGGTAGCGGGGAAAGGGCGTGTGGAAGGCATTCGTGTCTCGTTAACCTGGATAACTTCGGGTTAGTGACGACTTTCCCTGTGGTTGCTTTGCTCTGTGTTTCTGCGCGTGGCTGCTGTCATGGGTGTGTTCAAGTCCTTGGCCTCGGTGACGGACGTGGTGGTGGTGGTGGTGGTGGTGAGCCTTGTGTTAGTGACTCTTGCCGGCGAAGCGGATGGACGGACGGTGCTGTTTTCGGCGGTGGTTCGCGACTTTTCTGTGGATCACACCGACTTTGAACGGTATGGAGGCGGCGGCGTGGACTGCGGAGCTGTGGAGGATGAGCTCGGCGAGGACCGCAAGCCGATCATGTGGGGTGGGAAGACGGCGACGGGAAAGTTCCTCGACCGGCCGTGCCCGCAGGCCGGCACCGGACGGCCGCGCCGGGTCGAGTACTTTCAGAACTTCTTCCGCGACGTGCCGGGCGTCAACATCCGCATTCCCATCCAGCTCAAGTTTGAGGAGCAGCCGCCAGGCTCGGGCATCTTTGTCTTTGATCGTAACAAGGACGCTACCGGCATCAACCAGTACTTTCCGGTCGATGGACTCGGCTGGGGCGCCGACGTGCGGCGGCTGGGTTTCTTTGGCAACGTTCGCAACTTTCTCTTCACCACCGAGATCCACGCCGAGTTTGTGTACCGCGGCGACAACGAGTTCTTTAACTTTGCCGGCGATGACGACGTCTGGGTCTTTGTCAACAACAAGCTGGTCGTCGACGTCGGTGGCCTGCATTCGCAAAGAACCGGTGCCGTCAACTTGACGAACATTGCCGGCAAGCTCGGTCTTGTGCCTGGCGAGCGGTACCCTGTGTTTGTGGGCATCGCCGAGCGCCACTCGACCCAGTCCAACTGCCGGATCGAGACGACGCTTGCGCCCATCAACCGGCGGCCGTCAACGCAGCCAGCGGCGTACTCGGTCAAGGTCGGTGAGAACGTGACGGTCGAGTTTGTGGCGTTTGACGAGGACGGCGACAACCTCGTGTACACCCATACCATTCCGGACGAGCTAGCGCTGCTGCTGGACATTGCGCCCGACTCGCAGACGGCGCGGTTCCACGCGCCAGACTCGCTCGACCTGTACCTGCCTGCCAACGAGACGTCGTACACGTTCTCGATGGAGTTCACCGTCTCTGACGGTGAGTACACGGCGTGTCCGTCGACAGTGACCATCACCGTCACGCGAACGCTGGTGGCCCCTAGCCCGCCGGCTGCGACGCCGGCGCCGACGGACAACACCACCACGGTTGTCATCATCTCGATTGTCGCCGTCCTTGCAGTCATCGGCATCATCGCCCTCATTGCGCTCATCTTCTACGTCCGCTCGCAGGCCGAAACCTGGAAGGCCGAGATCATGGCCGAGTTTGCGGATGACAACCTCTCGATGAACCCGCTGTACACGGGGGCAAACACTGAGTTCTCGTCACCGCTCTACGACGATGGCGGTGGAGACTCGGTCCAGATGTCGCACTTTTGAAGTCATTGTTACCTGTTGCATGCAGTGTAGCCTTGCCCACCTACCTGCCCCTGTTGCCGTCCATGTAGATCGACATGAACTCATCACCCAAGGTCTTCTCTCCGGCTCGACCAACCAAACTGCCCCCTCCCTCCAAGACAATTAGCCTCAAATCTGTCTGTCCTCTCCTCTGACATACTCTCCCCCGTCAACTCTGGTCTGATCACCCCGGCTCCCCTCCACCTCACCGTGCGTCGCTCCGTGCCAGCCAAAGCCCCCCCCTCCCCCTCCGAACCACCTCCGCCAACCACCACCACTTGACCCCCCCCCACCCCCCACCCCACCCACACCCACACCCACACCCACACCCACACCCACACCCACACACTACATACACAACCAAGAAGCGCATCCAGGAGGCAAACATGGCATTCCGGTTGTGGAGTGCAGAAGAGGTCGGAGCATGGCTGGAGAGCCTTGGCTATGGCGAGTATGGTCAGGCGTTTGTGGAGAACGAGGTTGACGGCGAGGCTCTCGAGGGGCTAGACACAGAGATGCTGAAGGAGATGGGTCTGGTCAAGGTTGGTCCGAGGGCAAAGGTGCTCCGTGCTGTGCGTGAGCTTGTGGCGGAGGCTGCAGAGGCTGCCGGTCAGCAACAGACTGCTGCCGCTGCTAGGCTTGCCGGGGACAGACACGGCAGCCATGGAGGAGATGACGGTGAGGATGGGGTCGTCAGAGCCGCAGCGAGTGAGGATGTCGGCGGAAAGAAGAAGGGCAAGGCGAAGAAGGGCAAGGACAAGAGCAAGAGCAAGAGCAAGGGCAAGGGCAAGAGTGAGGCTGTCGACCAGAGTGCTGCGGCGGTGGCCATCGTCGAGGCCGCCAACGGGACGGCGTCGGCCATCTCGAAGCAGGGCTGGCTGACCAAGGAGGGCGGCAAGCGAAAGAACTGGAAGCAGCGGTGGTTCACCCTCGAAAACATGGTGCTCTCGTACTACAAGGCCGAAGCCGACGTCGGCGTCAAGAACCCTCTGGGACGGATCCCGATTCCGTCGTACGAGGTCGATCTCGACAACAAGAAGCCATTTGGCTTCAAGATCTCGCACCCCGGATGCCGGACATACTACTTTGGGGCCGAGTCTGAAGCCGAGCGGCAGCTGTGGATGAAGGCCATCCGTGAGCAGGGTCTGGCCACGGCGTCCAAGACCTGGTTCAACGCCGAGGCCAACTTCTTTTCGGTCGAATACGCGCCGTCACTGGATCTTTTCGAAGTTGCCATGACAATGGATGCGCCCGAAGAGTCGGTGCGCCTGGTGCCGGGCAAGACGTACCGGTACCATGCCAAGCTGCGGCGGTCGGACGGGTACTCGGAGGTGCTACTCGACGCCACCAAGACCGGCATTGTGGTCCGCGACGTGACCGCCACCGACAAGCTCTCGACCCACCACTACACAGCACTCCAGCGCTACACCATTGCCGCCCACGATCCGGTCTTCTCCATTCTCGAGGTTAAGGCCGGCCTCAAGTCTGTTTTCTCCTTCCACATGGGCAACTTTGCCATTGCCCGCCACCTCAACTCGGTCGTCACCGCCCACATCGGCGAGCTTGTCGGCGTCATCCGCTCCATGCGATGAAGCCCGCAGCGCCAGCTACCGAGGGCCGCCACGTCTGCGTCTTCGAAGCCGCCCGACCGGCCATGCGCCCAACCAAGCAAGGGCGATCGAACAGGCCCCAGAGTGAACACGGGCCGGAGGTCGAGGCGATGAGTGCAGAGACGGGACGAGTGGGCAAGCGAGAGTGATCGAGTGCAGCCAATGAGCGTGAGTGATCGAGTGCAGCCAATGAGCAAGAGTGATCGAGTGCAGCCAATGAGCTAGAGTGATCGAGTGCCGCCAGGGAGCCGTGGCGACAGCACCGGCACCCGTCTCACTCCTTCCCCTCCCAGCTGCGACCCGGTCAATCAAGGCAATGGCATCGGAGGCGGCATCGAGCGCAAGTGTGACAGATGCAGTGGCGGTAGCCTCTCCTGACTCTCTGCTTGGACTTGATGAGTGTGAGGTTGTGGACGACGAGACATGGGTATGTGTAGGGACAGGGGGGAGGGAAGGGAAGGGGGGGGGGAGGGGAGGTGGCGGGGATGGAGGGAGGAGGGGGACAGT